AAAGTACTAGTTTCCTTAAAATTTGTTAACAAATACGAAATAGCAAAACATCTAAGTCAAGCAAGATTTTCTGATGACTATCTTAAACCGCTTGACACAAAATGATTACTGTCGTCATATCAAACACAAGATTTTCTCTAAGTTTTCATAATTAACCTTAATCGAATTGTAAACACACTAGACGATTTCTTCAGTAGCAGTCTTCTTCTTTATTGAATAGTCCTTTAGTAAAGGACTATTGAATACAATATCCAAGTAAAGTGTCTTTAATTCAGATCATGAATCGATCAATGTTAGACCATCATTGAAAACCTGGAAGCACTGAACGGCCATTTCGTCTTTATATAAGACTCCTGAGCGGTGCAAATCTACGATCTAACACCAAAAGGAATCGAAATCAGGACCTACGGTCTCTTGCATCAACGCTTAACATCTAGACCACTGAGTCGGTATTCAAGTAAAGTAATCAACAAAATATTTGCCAGAAATTAAAACGTCATAATCCAAGAAATTCATTTGTACCACATGAAATACATCACTATTAAAATACCAAACAATTTGATGTTTTGATTTCATCATTCATTTCTATGGATCAATATAGAATAACATTGAAGTCATGAGTATACAAATTCAGTTACTTACTTACTTATACCTGTTATCTCTCGTGGATCCCCCAAGTACTCTGGTGCGGTTGATGGCGGGGAAAATCAACTCTCCTTCTCCAGATGCTCTCACATGGTCAAATCATACAACTACTACCAGGGAAGTCGTACTCATAGCCTCCTCTCATCGATGATGTTGTTTACGAAATTGAGAGGACGAAAAGCGAATGTCCGACACTTTACCCGGGTTGATGGACACTGAGTGTCCACCTATAAGAGCTGGAAAACGCTGATTCCAAACCAATGGTTAAAATGGGCCTCACGATCCTGAAGGAACAAATGGCGTATGAACCCATTGTTGGTCACCGGCTACCACGGGACTGCATCCCCTTATGTTGTTCTACCACCTTGCAGATCAAAACTTTAGGTCGAAGACTCTGAGTGTGGCCACCTAAAATATCACTTGCTTCGGTCTGAGAACCCGGACTGTACCATAGACCATACACAAATCACTTGATTTGTGTAGTGCATATATATTCGGTGTCCCTTTGTACCAATTTTATGTGCTTCAGTGATGATAATTCTGATCAATGAGCTTACAAGACCACACACGATACTGAATATAAGATCTTTAAGCCTAATACCAGACACTTACCCATAAGAACAAATGAGTCAGTATCTATTGTTGAGATTACAAGTTTAATCACAGTTTGTTATATAGCTATATGATCATTTATTACCATTGATGATAATAATATTTCTGAACTTCGTTATTCATAATTCACTAAAGTTTCAGAAACGTCTTGAAGTAAGTCATGAATGATTTTACTAATTAATTAATATTGAAACTATACCAATATACTTCAATCGAATGGTTTTAGTGGTTAAACTCTCACCAAGAAACCTTATAGTCCAACTTTTCATGTTATATATGTTCATTATTGAGAAGATTTACATCAGGATGAAACAGATGCCAGTTTCTTGGTAAGCAGTGATGGATAGGGGCTAGCAGTGGAGTTCAGGACGCGCGTTTCGTCCTATTTGGGACTCGTCAGCTAGATGCATCTGCATCTCAGTATGCAGCACCGTATGCATATATGCCAATAACAGACTGATCAATTGCAGTATTAAACCTCAATGGGAAGATACAAGCCAAACCAATACCAAGATGCCAGTTTGTGTTCCACAAAAGTAAAACACTTTGAACAAAATCAACTTAACTTTATAATTTTTGATTGTGGTCATTGTCAGACATGCTGTTTTCTTTTCTAATTCATTATTCAATTTATGCTAATCAAAACACGTGATTTGATAATAATAAAAATAACAAAAAACAACTGCCGTAACAATGAAAAGAACTTTTATAAACAATTAATTTACCCCTGGTTATATTTTATTTCCTTTTCTTTCTGTTATTTTTCACTTTGTTACTTTGTTCACTAGTCAACCACCCACCCCTCTCTCTCTCTTCCGAGCACATTTACTCATTCACTCCCTCATCCACTCACTTACTCACTGACTTACTTAGTTACTTACCCTTCATCAAGGACAAATATCATGATTAAATTATTAAAATATGTGTATATATTTGAAAGGAGTAAATAGATCAGTCACTCAAGGTGAGAATTCAATGAAGTTTTTTCAATTAGATTAAAGTTACCTACCTACCTACCTACCCACCTACCTGCCTACTTCCTTTATTTATTTCATAAAAGGAAAAAAATTTCTGTTTTCCCGACACATGAATTAGACTTTTTATTACCTTATTATTATTAATATCGGAATTATTTATGTTATCATGATTATGGTTATTTTTTATTGTTTCTCATAAAAAAAAGAAGAAGAAAAAAGAAAAGAAAAAAGGAACACAAATATTTGAGAAGAAAAGAGATTCCATGTGTGAATATGGTAATATATATATATATATATATATATATATATATATATATATATATATATATATATATATATATATATATATATATAGAGAGAGAGAGAGAGAGAGAGAGAGAGAGGAGATTATTTAAGGCATAAATAATTCAACATGGCTACTCATTTGTTTATAATTTTGATCTTATACAATGTATATACCCTCTTTTTTCCCCTCCCTCTTATTTTATTGAGCATATTGAGCATACACACACATACATAGATTGACTTATATACATGTGTATGCCAAAGTAATGAATTAAGAAATATGGTAAATGAAGATAAGATTAACCGATGAATATACTCACATATATCTGTATCTATCTATATAGACACAGGAAATGAATAATATAGTTACTATGATTGTTGAATACCTTTTTATAAAAACTAGAATATAAATAAAAGTATTTTATCCTTTATCTATAACCATATACGTTCATAAAAGATTGTAGAATTCACATGATGATAATTACAGAAAGTATTAAGGGAAATAAAGATGGTGAATATGTGAGTGAGTGAGGGAGGGAGGGAGGGAGGGAGGTAGGGAGCATATACTAGATTCACAGCACAAATATATGTATATTATACCTTTGAGAATAACTGTATTTTAGTGAATTGTTACAAACGGAGAAATCAGTAACTGACTGACTGACTAGCTGACTGAATGAGTGAATGAATAAGTGACATATAAATATAAATCTTATGGTTTATTCTATTTAAGATGAACATTTCAAAACAAATAAATCCCGCGAAACAGGATTGTGGATGCATAGTTGTTATATTCGGTCGTCGCTGATTGCTGTGCCGTAAAATGCGCTGATCACTTATACTCAGAACAAGGAACCACGGCGATTCCCGCGATGCGATAGTAAGAACATAAAGTTTGGTATAAGTGAAGATTTATTGGCCCCAAACACTATAACGACGACGAATCATAATAGTCTAAAATACACTGGTTTATATATTGATTATACACTCATTTATGATTAATAATTAGGATTATATCACATACTCAGTTATAACAAATCACTTACTGAACAAAGTTCATGTCAATGGAATACAAGAATATCTCGCATATTATACAAAAGAAAACATCATACTGGGAAAATATCGAATACTACACTGAATGATCCTCACGTTGAATCAAACGGATGTAATATTGAACCAAAACTCATAATGAGTAAATCAATCGAAAACTGATTTTTCTTTCCATCATATAAATACTGATGAGGAGTTCTAAAATATGACGAAACGGTCATCTAGTTGTTCTAGGTTTTAGCTTGGTCTTAGCTTCAATTGACTTATGAATTAAACTATTCAAATGACAAATAAATAAATTAAGAATTCACTTCTTTTTAAAGTTATCTAATTTTCAATGGACAGTGAACTGAAAAGAATGTGAATTCACATCAATTGGATACTATTTGCGT